ATGCCCTAAGTAATTAAAAAGTGAAATAAAATATATTAAAAAAGAGGAAAAAAATAGGAAAATAGAATAAGAGAAGAATAGAAGTGCCACCTAGGAAAAAGTTTAAAGAGATGTTAGGATTGAGAATTTAGAGTTTTTTAAGAGATCACTATATTTGGTTATATATATACTAGCTTATCACCCGTACTATGCACGAGATAATTATAGATATTTATATTTATTTTAGATTTTTTTAATATATAAATTATGTTTTTTAAGATTTTTTATAAAAATAATTTAACAATCTTATCACTAGCCATAGTGTATGAGAGAAGTTTAAAAGGGTACTGCAGTAACTATACACGGATTGTATCTATAATTTTTAATATATGAATTATGTTTTTATAAAAATAATTTAACAATCTTATCACTAGTCATAGTGTATAAGAGAAGTTGAAAAGGGTACTGCAGTAACTATATATGGATTGTATCTATAATTATTTGTATAAGAGGATTTTAAATGCTGATCAGAAAATTTTGACCAAATCAATAAATGCAGGCATGTGGAAAGACATGTGAATTGAAAAAAGTTAATAAATGCTAATTAGGGGATTTTGACCAAATCAATAAATGTTGAGTTTTTTTTTAAATAAAAAATAAAAAATTTAGAAATTCAGATTGGAATATTTAAATTTCCACAGGCCTTGGGGTTAAAAACTCCTTTTTGCTTAATATATAGTATATAGTATAGATAGCTTATCACCCGTGCTATGCATGGGATAATTATATATATTTATATTTGTTTTAATTTTTTTAATATATAAATTATGTTTTTTAAGATTTTTTTATAAAAATAATTTAACAATCTTATCACTAATCATAGTGTATAAAAAAATCTAAAACATATATAATATCTATAATTATTCCGTGCATAGCACGGGTGATAGGCTAGTACTATATTATAAGCAAAATGGTTTTTATCCCCAAGGCCTGTGGGAGCTTCAAATATCCTCAATCTGAAATTTTCTAAATTTTTTATTAAAAAAAAAAACTCAGCATTATGATTTAGTCAAAATCCCTTATCAGCATTTATTAACTTTTTTTCAATCACATGTCTTTCCAACATGCCTGCATTTATTGATTTGGTCAAAATTCCCTGATCAACATTTAAAATTCCCACTCATACAAATAATTATAGATATAGTCCGTACATAGTTACTGCAGAGCATTTATTATCTCCTATACACCTATGGTTAGTGATAAGATTGTTAAATTATTTTTATAAAAAATCTTAAAAAACATAATTTATATATTTAAAAAATTAAAACAAATATAAATATCTATAATTACTCGTGCATGCACGGGTGATAGGCTAGTTAACTAATATGTGAAATGTGCGATTTTTAAATGTCTTTTTTATTTTTATTTTTAAAATGTCTTCTTTTTTTTCCTTTTTTATATTATATTAAAGTTTAATTATTTGATATATATCATATGTGTTGAACTTTTCAAGAAATTAAATGTCTTCTTTTTTTTTATATTATATTAAAAATTTAATATTTTGATAATAATCATATGTGTTGGGAACTTTTCAAAGGAATTTTCTATGTG